CCGGTCCTGGGCTCCCGCTAGGAAGCCTTGTCCTGAGGTCATACTCCTGGGGCCGGGCACGGGGCGAGCAGTGGTTGCTCAGCCAGGCCTGGGGCCACCTCGCATTGCCCATCCCAGGAGGTGATGGCCACGCAGGTGCCTTCTGGTGCCTCAGTGGGAGCGCTGGGCGTGGGTGTCCGCGTGTCCTTCCAAGGGCTGCTGTGGGCGGCCTCCTGTGGGCTGGGCGGACCGTCCTCATGCCCACCAGGGCCCACCTGCCCTCCCCAGGACTGGTGTCCGCAGGCTCCTCTCTGCTGACCGACGGGCAGGAGTGGCGCTCCGAGCGGGTTCCCCTGGCGTGGCTTCTGTTAGGAGGCCGTGGGCCATCTCGGCATGCCGTTTGGCTCCGTTCATCTTACACTGATAAACTCAAACGGCAAATGTGGTGACACAGGCAACGTAAAATCTGTCACTTTAATGATAGGCACGCAGTTCAGTGGCCTCCGTCTCCAAACCTCTCCTCACTCCCTCCTGCCCCCGCCCACTCTGGCTCCCCAGGCCCTCTCTCTCCGTGGCAGGGACATCCATGAAGACCCCACAGTACTGTCCTTCTGGGCTGGACGTTTCCCTGCGGAGTCCCCAGGGTCCCTTCCTGTCATAGCGGGTCGGCTTACCCCGCTTCCGTCTTCTGTGTGATCCTACTGGGAGGGAGGTGGGGTGGGCAGGGCTCCTGTGTGAAGGCCCGAGAGGGGGGTGTGCCGGGAAGGTGCAGCGGGCAGGGTGCTGTCCAAGGGAGGCCGGGTGGGGTGGAGATGGGGGGCGGGTCATTGCGTGGCAGTGCCAGGCCTGCGAGGAGGCCGTGAGGGGAGAGTGGGCGTTAAAGTCCTTAGAGCTGGGGGGATCTGGGGTGGCCCTGCCCACGAGGCAGAGGGGCAGATGCCTTGGACAGAGGGAGATTGAAGAGGTCCCCACAAGGTCCCAGGCTCCCTCCACACACAGCTGGACCTCGCAGCAGCTTCCCCTTCAAAGAGTGGCTCCAGGAAACCAGGAGGAGGAGACGTGGCCACCCCCGGCCACAGTGGCTGTGCCAGGAGCCCCAGTCCCCTGCCACGTCCAGGCTCCTGGCTGCAGTCAGGCTTGCTCCTCTGACGTCTGAGGGGGGCAGCTGGTGGCCTTTCAGAGGGGTTCAGGCCCCAGCATTTCAGAGTAGCACCCTGGGGTCTTGTCACCCTGTTGGGGACCCTGACCTGCTGGTCATCTCCCACAGAACCTTTCTCAGTGCCCCTCATGCCCAGCCAAGCTGCTGCCCCTTCTGGACCAAGGCTGCCAAAGTCCACAGGGCTGAGCAGCACCCAAGGCGCAGGCCTTCCTGGGCCCAGGTGCCAGGGATACCCACAGAGGGACGTGGACTGGCATGCTCGTGTGCTGCCGGTCGGCCACGGGGCACACCGCTGGCTTTGGCAGAGGCGGCTGGGAAAAGTCAGTTGGGTGCCCGCCTGCTCTCCGGGTGGAACTGCCCCACACCAGCCTACCCTCTGCTCTGTGCCCGGCACGTTGGTTGGCAGGGCGAGTGGGCAGGGTATGGGGCACCTCCCAGCTTCCTTCTCGCCCCTCGGTCACTTGAGCCTGGTCCTGCCCGGCTGGCGTGCTCAGAACAGGGTGGCGCCACAGCCTGGTGTGCTCAGCTGCCCTGAAGACATGGCTTCAGCCACGGCCCGCGGAAGCCAGGGGGCCGCACCTCCGTCTTCCTGCCGTCGGCCTGCGGCTGGAGCAGGGGTGCTCGTGCACAGGCTGTCGGCAGGGCCAGGGTTGCCGTTCCACACTCTGGGCAGCTCCTTTCTGGGGCTGTCACCCCCATTTGAAAGATAATGAAACCGAGGCCTTTGGTTGTCACAGCAGAGCCTGGCTGTCCTAGGCTCAGTGGGGCCTGCGGCTGGAGCGGGGGTCTCGTGCACAGGCTGTCGGCAGGGCCAGGGTTGCCGTTCCACACTCTGGGCAGCTCCTTTCTGGGCTGTCACCCCCATTTGAAAGATAATGAAGCCGAGGCCTTTGGTTGTCACAGCAGAGCCTGGCTGTCCTAGGCTCAGTGGGGCCTGGGGGCTCTCGTGCTCCCCTCCTGGGCCCTGTGGACCCTCTGACCACGCCCTCCTCTTCCTCTGAGGCCTGTCACCTGTCTCCTAGTCACAGGTGGGCACTGATTCGGGGACAGGGACGTTTTCTGGGGACAGTCACCTCCAGCGTGATTGGTTCTCCTTCCTTCCTGGGGAGCTCCCAGTCGTAAGGCAGGGCTAGACTCGGGGACACGGATGTGCATCCTGGCTCTGGCCCTGATTACCACTGACTGTCCTCACCTCCTTCCTCGCCCCTGATGGGCAGGGATGTGGGCCACTGGGCCTGAGCAGGGTTGGCCCGTGGCTCTGCCTCCCGCTGCCGCTCCAGGCTTGGTATCCTTGCTGTGGACAGGGGTCCCCATGGGGTGCAGGCCCAGGCCACGGCTTCTTGGGACTCCAGCCTTGCCTTGTCACAGAAGGAAGGACCCTTCTTTCTCTGCGTTGCTGGAGCAAACGCCAGGGGGAGCCATCCCCCGGGTGGGTGGGCCGTTTCCTGTCCTGAGCGCGTGGCTGCACGGGTCCTTGGTTCTCCTTCTGGTGCTCTGTGCTGGATCATTCACGACCAATCCCTGGTGTCTACAGGTCTCCCGGGAAGGGCCCTCTGTGCCTCTGCCCGTTCCTGGGACAGCCGCAGCAAGGCTTGCCTAGGTCACCTGCTGCGGGGCCTCCAGACAACGGGGAGCATCGAACAGAACTTCCAGGCCCCGCGTGGCCGCACTCCTCCTGGGTGCCCGCACTCCTCCTGGGTGCCCGCACTCCTCCTGGGTGCCCGCACTCCTCCTGGGTGCCCGCACTCCTGTGGCGTGCAGGTTTCTTCAACAGAAAGAGCAAGTAAAACATTGAAAACGTGGGCGGCCAGGGGAGGGGCGGTCAGAGCAGAAGGCCGCGGGGCCGGAGCTGGGCAGGGTGGGGCTGGCCGCAGAGCCTGGCTTGCTGGATCGCATTTCAGTTCAACATTTATCACCACCTTGTCCTTGAGACAGGCCTTGCCTTGCCATACTGGGGGCAGGGTGGCGAAGTGTGACTCCAAGAGAGTGGGGGGACCTTCCAGGAGGTGTTCAGGGAAAGGGAGATGGAGACCAGCCAGAGTCAGGTCAGGTGGCCTGGAGTTGCCCAGGGTGCCTAGGGATGAGCAGGTTGCATGTGGCCCAGCGTGCGTTTGGGGGATTAAAAAGGGCGTTTTTTGTTTGTTTGTTTTGGTAATAAAAAATGTCTCAGACGCCCAGCGCACTGGAACCAAAGGGGAGTGTGCGTGAACCCCACGTGCCCTTCATGCACAGTGGTCCTGGTCTCCTGGCCACTGCCTGCCCTCACCCTCTGGATGATTCTGGATCGAATGCCAGGCATTTGGTCCTCTGCCCGTCTCTGCGGCGTGGTGAGCTGGCCTAAACACTGAGGGCTGAGCACAGCCACGGCAGTGTCCCCGCCTGGGACAGTGGGCACTGCACTCGGCTGCTGCCCACCTGGGTCTCCATGCCTTGTCCAGGCTTTGCGATTTGTCTGGGGCTAGCTGTGTGGAGCGCCTGGGGATGGGCGTCCCAGGGTTCTGAGTGGACACCTGGCTGACCTCACCCCTGCCTTGTGAGTCCTGCAGCTCTGCCCGGGGCAGACCGAGGTGAGCCACACAGTTGTGGGGCACAGGGCTTTCCCTGTCCTCAGGGTCCTCTGAGAGCGTCTGTCCTGTGGACAGTGTTTCGGGGTGCGCTCCCTCTTCCTGCCTGTGGCCTCCCAGCAGGGACAGATGTGTGCAGGGTGGACCTGCTCTCCTGGCCACGCTCTTCCGGCACATGCTGTGTTAAGCATTGCCCAGCCCTGGAGGAGGTCTGGGGACCAGGAGGGGAAGGCAGCTGTGCTGTCCTTGGCCAGGCACTCGGGTCAGCAGCAGGATGCATCTGAGGGGTGACCATTTGAGTGTCCCGTGTGGACAGGCCTGGCTAGTGGGTGGGCCTCTTGTTTTCCCTGGGAAAGGTGCAGGGTGCAGAGCCACTGCTTGCTCTGGGCCGTGGGCACCAGTGGCCGCAGCTGCAGCCTGTCCCCGGCTGCTGGGACAGGACAGTAGTTACATCAGTCCTCACGGGGCTGGCAGGGTGAGGCCCTGGTGTGGCCTTTGCTCTCCCTTGTCCCCCACAGGCCTTATCCTGCCTGAGAGCCCTTCTCCCCAGCTTGCTGTGCATGGTGTGGACGTGGCCTTGGCCCAGCGCCCACTGTGAGGGCAACGCTGGACACTGGGCACTTGGCTTAGATTTTGGTGTCTTGTCTTAAGGTTGAGCTCCTGTGAGCTCTGGGGTGTCCGCCTGGTGGGATGCTGAGGCATGCTGGTGAGGACCTTATGGTGCAGTGCCCGTCTCCTGGCCTCATGGACTGGGCGCTGTGGGGCCCTGGGGGCCACCGTCCCTCGCAGAGCTGCCGCTGCTCTCCCGAGGCCTTGGGCCCATGGAGTGGACCTGCGGGGCGAGGGCTTCTGTCCAGGGTCCTCTGAGCTCTGCCTGTCTCTCTTCCAGGCTGCTCCGGGGACCCTCATCATGGCCTCAGGGGTCCAGGACTTCAACCGGACAGAGTTTGACCGGCTGAACGAGATCAAGGGCCACCTGGAGATCGCCCTCCTGGAAAAGCACTTCCTCCGTGAGTACCAGGCGCTCCGGGAGGGCACAGGCCCCTCTAGGGGTGGGCTGAGCTGGGACACGGTCTTGCTGCTGCGGGCCAGGCGCTCTACCGTGGACATGGGACTGGGCCAGGCACGGCCCACGTGGCTTTTGGGGCCTGGAAGTCCCCGCACGGCCCTTTGCCTCTGAGCCTGCGTCTTTGCCGGCTGCTTCTCTGAGCCTGGTCCTCGTCACCTTTGCTCCGTGTGAGGGGTAAGAGGATCCTGTGGGGAAGGACTAGAATGTTCCATGAGGACCTGGGCCCTTCCAGTCAGTCTGGCACGGGCGTCTCCCACCATTCAGAGCTTATCTGGTATTTTGTAGGAATCGGTTTTCTGTTCTGGGGCTGGGGCTGGGGCTCGGTGAGAGGCACTGGGTTCCGTCCTCAGCACCACTTACAAAATAAAAAAATAAAATAAGGGCATCATGTTCATCTGTAACTAGAAAAAATACTTCTTTAAAAAAAGGTTTGTGTTCTGTTAGTCACGGGTCAGGGAGGGGGTGCTGGGGGTTCCTGGTCCTTGGCCGCCCGCACATGGCCTCCGAGACTAGAGATTGTTCTGGAGGGGCCTGGGGGTCCTGGCAGGGAAGAGTCCCTGGCGGCTCACTTTGGATCCTCTCTTCTCTCCTCCGTGTCCTCTGGGTGTTACGGGGAGGGCAGGAGGCAGGGAGAGCTCGAGTTGCCCTCCTGCTGGGTGGAGCCCCCGACCAGCAAGGGCCTCGACCAGACAGACCAGCCCTGAGCCCACGCAGCAGCCCATGCCCGTGACCCTGCCGTGGGGCATGTTCACAGCTGGTACGACGGCTGATGCGCTGCTCTTGGGAGGAAGGGGCAGGAAGGGGCAGCTCCAGCCCTGCGCACCCAGAGCTGGGCACTGTGACCTGCGCAGAGCAAGGCCCACTACGGCCAGCTGCCCTGGGCAAAGGGCAGGGCTGAGGGCTGACAGGCAGGCCCCTCCCTTCTGGGGGTCCTGCACGCTGGGGCTCCTCAAGGCTCTGGCCGGCAGCTGGTGCCTGACTGGTCTCTGTCCCTCTGTCCTGTGCTGACTGGCTGCAGGCTGCTCGGGGGGTCTCTCCGTCTCTGATTTCTCTCCTCTTCCTGGCCCAGGGCCTGTGCTGGGAGCCCTCAGTGGATTCAGTAGGATGCAGACATACGAAGCCTGATGTCCCAGGGGACCAGGTTCTTTCACTGTGATATTGTCCTCGGCTGCCCTCGGGTGGGCCCTGTGGTGCTGGGCGTCACACTCCCACTGTGAGGCTAGAGGGGATGACCAAGGTGCCCTGTCCTGTGGCTTCCACCTGCCTCTCCTGCAGGCTGGGGCCTGGCTCAGGGGAATCTCACACTCACCTGGTGGTCAGCGGCCAGCGTCACAGCGTCTGTGGGTTCACCTGGCTGGAGAGCAGTAGGGAGCTGTGTGTGTGTGTGTGGTGTGTGTGTGTGTGTATACGTGCGTGGCAGCGGTAGTGTAGGTGTGCAGGTGGTTGACCATGGCAGTAGTATCTGGGCGTGAACATCCAGCAGTGGTCAACGTGTGTGGTGGCTGGGCCTATGTGTGCTCGTGTGTGCGTGTGCACAGTGATAGCGTGTGTCTGCCCTGGCCCCCAGGGACGGAGTGTGAGTGGTTCTGGTGGCTCTGTGGCTGCGCTATGGAGTGACTTGGTTTTCCTGAGTCTGAGGTTGCCTTGGAGCCCACGTGGGTGGAGAGAGCTGGGTAGTAAGCCCTCCGGGTTGCAGTCCTGGGGCCCTGCCACCTGTGGCCTTGGCCAGCTCTGCTGGGTTTGCAGGGGCATGTGGAGCTCATCCTGTGCTGGCTGGAGACCTCAGCTGCAGGAGGCTGCCTGTTCCCTGCTAAGCCTTATGACGTGCCTTTTTTGTGGCCAGAGCTGTCTAGCGTTGGCAGTTTCATGAGGCTGGGTGAACCTGCAGAGTGCATGGCCCCCAGCGAAGGTGACGGGCTGTGGAGCATCCACAGGGGCCTGTGGGGCAGAGAGGGGTCCAGGAGAAGCGGTCCTGGGAGGGTCCACAGGACACTGTGCACTCACATTCACTTCAAGGCAGGTCATGATGAAGTTGGAGAATGGAACAGCCAGACCCATGGGCGTGCTTCTTTGGGGCTGTCCAGATGTGACACAGATTGAGGCTGTGAGGAAAGGTGCAAAAAAGGCTGCCTACTACCAGACGTCGTTGCTGCCTCCGGCACTCAGGTTCTGTCCTCAGTGCTGCCTAAGAAGCCAATTGTTGGACTCCTCGTGGCTCTCACAGCGGCAGTCAGAGTTCCACCTGAGCTGTGGGCTGGCTCGATTACGAGAGGTTTTGATTGTGCACCAGAACTGAACAGATCACTTCCGGTGCTCTCTTGTCCACGTCCACCATCACCTCCCTGGGAGCCGATTCCCACCCTCCTGACGTCCTCCACCACCTGTCACCAGTAGGTGGCCTAGAGTGCTCCAGACAGATGCCCTGAGTCCAGGCTGTGACAGAAGGAGCTGCTCCTTGAGTTCTTCAGGTTTCTGGGGTTTGGGTAATTTTCTGGCCCCTGTGCTGGCTGCACGGGCCCCTTCCCGCTCCGCCCTTCCTGCTCCACCCACGAGCCGACCGGTTCTGAGCTTTACAACCTTCATTTGTAAAATGAATCTCCCGCTTCATTTTCCAGATTTGAGAGAATGAGCTGCGTCTTCCCCTGAGAGCAGCCGGCGGAGGGCTCATCCTCGGGCCCCGGCTCTGTTGGGCCCAGGCAGCTCTGCCTGGCTGTGGGAGCCTGGCCAGTGCGGGCGGGTCTTCCTGGTGTGGCAGGACAAGTGCCGCCTGGACCTGGAACTGAGCCGTTTGCCTCATCAGATTCTGACCGGGTCTCTCTGGTGCTAGAAATCCTGGCTCTCAGAAGGCGACACTGCGTGCTGGCTGGTTTTATCGCTCGATAACATCCACACCCTTCAGAATCCCAGCCAGCGCTGCCCGCCCCGTAGGACTGCGCCAGCTGGTGTCCAGTCCTCGTCCTTGCGCTCTCGGGGCTGCTCCCTGGAGGGGTGCAGACCATTCCGTTTGAAGTCGCTCACCCTGGCCCAGGGAGGGCAGCCTGGCTCCCTTAGATTGTTACACTTTAGGGTTTTAGAGGTTGCCTTCGCTTTCTTTTAATTTTGACATGATTTCAGGTTTACAGGAAAGTTACAGAAAAAATACAAATGATTCCCTTGTGCTTTTCATCCAGTTGTTCATCAAAGATTCACATTTTACACATTTATCTGTCTCATTTACCTGCCCACCCACCCTACACTCATCTATCCATCGGTCTGTGTGTGTGCCTGCGTCCATCCATCCACCATCCACTTGAGAACCGTCATCCCTCCGTCTTCCATCTATTCCTTCATTACACATCCACCCACCCATCCATCCATCCCCATCCCCCAGCCATCCACCCACCCATCCCCCCA